GTGGTCGAGCTAAGAGGGAAGAGAACACCAGGTTGGGTATGAGATGACTAAGGACTAAATATTGCGTAGCCGTATATAATCCCTTTGTCTTCCTTTTCACTTCAAAAACTCGAAAGAATTATAGTTATTTTTTCAAAATACATTTCTCAGTTATTTTGTTCATAGAGTTCAGAAAATATTTTAATACTACTAAACTTTTAAAATCGTTTAATATATTGAGGTTTTCAACATTTTTTAGTAGAGGAAAAATAAATAATGAAATCTCACATAAATTAATTCTTTGACAGATCATTAAAGATATAGTGCTACTCTATCGGAGAGGAAAACCCCTTTCGCTTAGCGGCCATTTCGTTCATTTCCGGTTTCAAGATACTAAGAGATCCATTTGGCACCCTTCGATTCTCACGAATACGGACACCTTACCTCCTATAGATATAGCTAAACCATTGTGTGATCCACCTTGCTTTCTCAATATCATTTTTTTTCCTTCTTGCACTTAGAAATTGAAGAAATACATCATGACTAATAAAAATCATACTTTCAATTTCGACGATATTCAAATTTTAAATATGAAACAAAATTAAAAAAAAAAATTTCTAAAACGTTACACATAAAATGCAACTATTTTGACATTAATAAAAAAGATGTACAATTTCTAAGTAACACGTATTTTCCTTTATTTATTTATTCGGTAAATATATTAATTAATGTTTTTTAAATTCTTAGTATAGATTGGAACTGCTCAAAAAATAGGATATTGAGGACTACGACAATAAATTCGACAAGGAGTATAAAATATTTCCAAAATTAATCTAAAAAAAGATTTTGATTAATATAATAAGTTAGCAAAAATAGCTAATAAAATTGCTGTTTATATAATAGCTATCTATTAAAATTAGCTAAAATAGATCACTATTAGCTGCAATATAGTTAACTTTTTTTCTCCATGTAGCAGTCAGATTTGTTAAATTTTTCAATCTTACTATAAAATATTCTATCGTCTTTAGATAAATGCAAAAATTTGTTTAAATTTTCATACGATATCGAAAAGTTTAACATCGTTAATAGAACATTAAGGCGCGGATATAAGTTAGATAAATGTTATCGTCCTTAACGCTAAGATTAGAAGATATTTATAGCATACTGGCAAAAGTCAAGGTAAAAGGGATGTTTTAACTTTTAAGCCATATTATCACTTCAATTTCTGGATCGATGATAATGGAAAGTGGCTTTTTTTGCAAGGATAACATTATATAATTATAATTCGAGTAGTTTCAAAAAATTTTCTTTTGTATTTATTATGATTTTTTTTTCTCTTCTTCGTTGTAAAAAAAACAACCTATACACTAAATAAAATTTATTTGTTTCAAATAGTCGATTAGTTGACTATTATAAATAATTATTTGAAACAAATAAACTAAATTTAAATCAATAATATCTATATTTAAAAAAATAAAATTTAATTTATACTCAAATAAAAATTATTTGACTCAAGTAAATATTTATATTTGATAATATTCCATGTAATCGATTATTTTGATCAAATACATTTTTTTTCACTGTAGATATTTCTTTTTAATGTTATATTTTCTTAGTCAATATATTTCATAAGAATTAATTTTAATCTATATAGAAAGAAATTCATATAATTTATTGCAGTCGATTTGGCAAAAAACAGACGTGAAAGGTGTTATCATTAACACTTCCGTTTTTTTACATTCCTGGCATCAAAACTCTATATATAATAATTTCTCAGAAACAAAAATATATTTATTATTTCAAATTGCAAAATATTCTAATAAAAAATATTTATTCATTGACTCATACTTTTTTTAACGGCGTATAATAGATTGCACCATTTATTATTATTATTATTATTATTATTATATAGTTGATTGTGTGCCAGAAAGTGATATATTTTACGAGCATCAAACAGAAATTTTTATAGTTTCAGAAAATTTATGAAAATAAATTGATTGCAAGATGTAAGTACAGTGGAGATTTCATTCTCAGCAGTTCATATTGATTTTAGAAATTTACTACAAGGCACTGTCATAAAGATAAAAGTTTTCATTTATAAAAATAAATTATAAAAATAATAATTATTATTAATTATAATTATAATAATAATTATAATAATATAATAATAATTATAATAATTATTATATTGTATTAAATAAAATAAAGAAGAGGGAAAAATATCCTACTTAAAAATTTATAGAAAACATTTTGAATATTATTATGATTTTAAAAATTTATGAGAGTAAATACATAATTTACAAGAAGCTTGCAAGCTCAGGAATGAAGTTCGCCTACTCGACCGCTAGATGTCGACATCGATCCGTAAGGTGTTTAAATAGATATAAATGATAAAAAAAAATTATTTTCATTATTACTTTATTTAAATTTTTTTTGTGCTGAAAATTTCTAGAATTTAAAACATTTTTTAAAAATTTACACTAATCTATGATTAATAGAAAAATTATTTTGTTATAAAATTATACAAAAAAGTTAAAATATATAATAGTAATTAGAGAATAAAAAATTTAATTATTACTATTAAAAACTAATTAATATATTTTCCATTAGTAGTTACTTTATGCAGTGACATTTAATTATCGCAGAAAGGATTAAAGATTTTTTATGTTATAATTTCAAAATTCAGATCCACTTATCTATGATTCTATTTACAGTGGAGAGTCATCTTGTGTGTATATGGTGTATAAAAACTTTTCAGAAAAGAGTTGGACTTTCAGTTCCGCTGGTTTATCTAAGAAAAAGTTAGTTTGCTCTCACGCTAAGTTTGCTACGGTAAGACAGACACGAAATTTTTTTTTTTTTAAACTGGTAATGCGCTATGTAAATGGACCGCGTCTCACAAATAAAAGTCGAAACTGCGTTATGCGCACATTACGCTATATGAAGTAGTGGTGAGAAGAAAGTAAACGATTTTTATTTTCATATTCTTACAAATCGTTTCCCGTGCGGAAGATTTGAAACAGTCAACCTAATCACAGCCCACCTGGGAAATATCCCATGAAATTTATTGCATTTCTACTTTTTTTGTTTAATTTTAATTAACTTAGTTTAATATTAGAACAAGTGACAATTGAAGATGATGAAACAATAAGTTGACATATGTCATCAGAGAAAGAAAATGTAATCTATTTTTTTTTTAAATTGAACCTAAAATTATTACACTGTAAAAAAATTAAGGAGTTAACGTTACTGGGAGTTGGGAGTTAAAGTTCTCGAGTTAAAAATCAACTCAAAAAGGGAGTTAATAATTAAATTAACTCCTTAAAATCAACTCCCTAGGCATAAAATTAATTCATAAATCTTGTTAGCTTTGTAACTTTACTATCAACAAATAAAATATAAAACTTTTCGTAAAGTATTATATTGCAGTGTACAGAAAAAACCTAGTCAGCGACAGCGCTACGAAGATTTCGCTACGTAGCGATTCAAAGCTACATTCACTTTAAAAAATTTTCTAGCTATCGGGTGACTTAAAAAATGGTATCATTTTGATAGATTTAGCTTGGTACAATTGTTTTTCTGTGTATTTTTTTTCTCATATTTGCTTTATTTTATAATTTAACAATTTTTTTTTAGAATCAAGAATGTATCAAATTCATAAGGATTTGACACGATGAAGAAATGAAGCAATTAAAAGAAGTATCTAAAAGGCTGACAAATTTTTCAAGTGTAACACTTCAAATCTCAAAAGTTATAAAAAGGCAATTCGAGGCAATGATAATTATTAATATTATTATATTAACACTTTTATTTCCAACTTTTATCCTTACAAAAAATCAAGAAAATAATTCAACTTTATCCAATAATAATAAACTATTTACTTTTCTTTTTTATATTAATAATTAAATATTTATTGCATTTATATTTATTATCTTTTCCATAGGATTAAAAGTTTCTATTAGACATTGTCTAAAATGGGAAAAAAATTGAATTAAAAAAATTTTGAAGATATAACCTCAGAAATAGAATTTTTCTTCTCACGCAAGGGTTCACTAAAAAAATGTATAGGGCATTTTTTGTGAGTTAAAGAATTTTTCAAAAAATGAAAATTTAAATTAATTTAATTAAAAAATTAAAAAATAGTTAATTTAATTTAAAAAATTTATCAATTTTTAAATTTAGGCTGGTAAAGAATATCCTAATTTTAAATCTCATGCAATTATTATTTTTAATTCTTGCAATAAGATTAATTTTCTTAATTTTTATTTATTAAATTAAATTAAAAAAATTTATTTCCCTTTATAAATTATTTTAACATTAAACTAGATAATTTATTTTTAAAGTTGTTATTTATTAAATTAATAGGTTATTTGCAATATTAAAATATAATTTACTTCGTCACTAGTTAATTATTTTATTTAAAAGTAAAAAATTTCTAAAAATATTAACTCATTTAAAAAAAAAACTTGTAGAAATTATGATGGGTAATCATTTTTTTGAAGTTTTAAGTGACACTGTTATTTTCATATTCGTATAACTGCAATAAAACATTAAGGGTTTTTAATTTTGAAATAGGATTTTTAGAAGGATTTTCCATGTACATACTCTTTAATGCAAAAAAATTTTTTAGCAATAAAAAAAAGTTTAACCCCTTTTTTCTCAATAATGACCCTTATTTTTTAATTTCGACCCATTTGGGTATTAACAATATTTTTTTTATTTTAAAAATAAAGTTTTGAAAGTTTTTTAAAATTACGTTTTAAAAAATACACAAAATTATATTTAATAATGATAAGATAATACATATATATGCTCTAAAATAAAGATTTACATTTCCTTGAATCTTAAATATATATATTAATGACAAATTTGACAAAATATTTGACTTTTTATAAGAAAATTAAAATAGACAAATGCAGATAAGTTGTACAAATTCTATTCGACTCTTAAATATATTCATGTAACATTTGATTTTTAACATAAATTAAAAAAACATACGTGTCAGTAAATTTTGAAGGTGACCGAAGAAATCAACAGTCTTATCTGTGAATATCAATGTATAAAAGGAGTAATTTTTTGGAAGTTTTATTACTTCTAACTATTACAAGTTCGTCGATATTGCTTTTTAAAAACATGAATAACTATTTGAAAGCAGTTCTGTTAGTTGTTGTCGTTTGTGGTAAGTATATATATATATATATTTAAATTATATAAGGTAGCAGACTTTATTTTTTTAATATTTTGTTTAAAAAAAATGTTTCTTTAATTACATTTTATTTTTATGAGCCAAAAATTTTGAACGTTCAAATAAATGAATTTTTTTTTGCAACTTTTTGTAGTACGAATTTCATTACAAAACATTGTTTTAAATATCTAAAAATAAGTTTTCAAAATTTTAAAGAATTTGTTTTTTAACCGAATTTTAATTCTTTTCTGATTTACATTTGTCAGAATTTTTAAAACGCCAAATTTTTATTTTAAAAAACTTTCATTTTTCCGAATAAATATCTGTCAGTAAAATTTGTACGCAAATTTTAAAACTGCTCCAATCAAAAGTTATCGACGAAATTATAAATAAATTATAATTTATAATATTTATAAATTATAAATTTAAATTTGCGTACACATTTTTTTTATCAGATATTTATATGAACAAATAAAATTTCTGTCAAATAAAAATTCTATTATAAATGGAATGTCTGTTAAATAATAATATTCGACTCAAAGAAATAAAATTCTGTCAATTGAAAATTTTAACAAAATAGGATAAGCACCAGTCGAAAAAAAATTATATTTCATCTTATACTTTATTAAATAATATTCTTTTAATATTTATTATAATAAAAATTAATAATAATTACTCGTATCATTTGCAGACTATATTTCGTTTACAACAGCAGAAAAACGACTAGCATTCAATAAAATATACCTTAATGATTTCAAGGAATTATGCAAACAACAGAATAAGGATTTTAATAGAGATTTAAGAGCAGCACATGACTTAGTAGCTGATCTTTATGAAAATCGATTAAGTTTAGAAGAGGGTAGAGATGCAATTAATCAAGAAAAGATTAAAGATTTAGTTAAAGAAGTACTGGTTTGTTTTGACGAAGAACAAAAGCCAAACGCAACAGAATTGGAATCAATTTACCAAGAAATGACGATCAAATTAAATGGTGCTATTGCAATTAGTAAGTGTAGACAATTGTATTTAAACCAGTGTTATTCATTTAATTTTCTAAAGTCAGAAACAATTTTTTCGATTTCGATTTTATTTTTAAATTATTTTTCAAAAAATTGAGATGTTCTTCTGTAAATAGTGTCACATTTATATTAAATCATGAAAAAAAATTTTTTTTTGGAGAAACTTAATCGATTTTGAAACATCAGTAGAGGTTTGCATCATATGTCACATTATTTAAATATCAATTTTTTCAGGAAAATTTTTAGATGCTAATAACAGCTGCTTAAATAGGGAATTCAGTTTTTGTATGAATAATGTGGGAAGGTCTCCAAATAAAGGTGACACATTGTTTCATGCACTGCCAATAATCCCTTCAAATGAACAATGCACGTAAGTAATGCCATATATTTTTATGAGTATATATACAAGAGCAATATGAAAATTATTATTTTATTAATATTTTCTGTTAAATATGTTATATTTGGTATACCAAGAAAAAAATTATATAAAGTTATTAAAATAGTTTAAAACATATATATGATTAACATGAAATCGTTCTGTTCTTTTTAATAATTTTATTTAAATTAAAATAATTTTTTTCACAGAACTTGTCAAAATATGGCTCAGTGTATTGAGAAAAGCATTAAAGAAACGTGTTCTAATCGACTGATGTTAGCTAAGGAGAAAATTAATATATTTTTGACCACCCAAAAGTGTACGCGTGTCTAAAAATTGTTTTTTTTTATGTATACGTATATTTAATCAAAAAATAAAATAATTAAGTTTATTTTGTAATAATTTTGAAAATTTTTCAAAAATTTTTGATAACTGGGAAGACCAGTTGGGTGCCCAGCATCTGAATCTGAAAAAGTTACAATTGTCTTAATATATGTCTCTGTAAACTTAAACTTTGGGGAATGTCACTGTAACAATATTTCTTAGTTCCCAATGGGTAACTTGTCCTGTGAGTATGACGGCTAAACAAAGTCTCAGTTTCGGTTGAATGGAACGACGCGGTTTCTTCCGTTAAACGCATTCCGAATGCATTATCGGAAGCAATAAATTGTAGAAACAGTCGTAGATCAATAATTCCATATTCCCCAAAACCAGTTTGTGCTCGCACTGCTCGTTTATTTACCGCTTCAGTTGTCCTTCGTAGATTTTCCATTCTTCCTTGGTTTTGCTATACTACCACCGAGAAAATCGAAACGTAACGCGTTCCATTCGATTTTTGCGAAATTATTCCAGCTTGGTGATTTACGATTATGGTACGTGACAGAATGCAAAATGCGTTATGCAGCAGCAGTGCTATACTTTCTCTCTCTCTCTCTCTCTCTCTCTCTCTCTCTCTCTACATCCAGCGAAGATATTCCAACTTACATTTTCAAACCTACATTATCCCTCTGTCACAAGTTGTAAAAATTCTCGTTAATCATTTGAATGTCGTCGAATTATCCCTTTTTTTGGCACTTTCCAGTTGACCTTTCGAGGGGAAATGAGTCGTACAAAGGCACATGTTTTTTTGCGTATACTAACAGTTTCAAAATAATTTGCCAATTTTTTCTTTTGTAATAAATTTTCACATATATGTATATAAAAAATTATTCAATTAAAAATAAAATAAACTTTTAAAAATTTAATTAATAACACAGGCACACAAAAAAAAAAAAAAGTCAGGTCCCAAAAAGCACAACCCCATATTCCTATGTTTTTGGGGTCGCTGAAACCGAATATGACCATGAAAAATTTTTTTGCCGACCCATTTTCCCGCAACCACCCCCTTGCACCTACTCACGGGGGTTGGAGTTTCAAATTAAAAAAAAAGTCAAGTTCGGTGTCTAATCCTACGTTTTTTGGGTCGCTGAAACCGAAAAACGCCACCAAAAACAAATTCTTTACCCCCTTAACCCCCTACAACCCTCTGGGAGGGGGTTAAAATTTTAAATTTCACAAAAAGTCAAGTTCGGTGTCTAATCCTACGTTTCTTGGGGCGCTGAAATCAAAAAACACCACCAAAAACAAATTCTTTACCCCCTTTAACCCGCTAGAACCCCTGGGAGGGGGTTGGAATATCATTTTTCACGGCGCTAAGTGTAGAAAAATAAATTTCCATAAGACTTTGTAGGTGCGTATTTGTGTAATCATAGGTAACTTTCTAGAAAACTTTATTTTTGGTGATGTTTTTCGGTTTCAGCGACCCAAAAAACATAGGATTAGACACCGTACTCGACTTTTCGTGAAAAATGAAATTCCAACCCCCTCCCAGGGGTTGTAGGGGGTTAAGGGGGTAAAGAATTTGTTTTTGGTGGTGTTTTTTGATTTCAGCGCCCCAAAAAACGTAGGATTAGACACCGAACTTGACTTTTTGTGAAATTTAAAATTTTAACCCCCTCCCAGAGGGTTGTAGGGGGTTAAGGGGGTAAAGAATTTGTTTTTGGTGGCGTTTTTCGGTTTCAGCGCCCCAAAAAACGTAGGATTAGACACCGAACTTGACTTTTTTTTTAATTTGAAACTCCAACCCCCGTGAGTAGGTGCAAGGGGGTGGTTGCGGGAAAATGGGTCGGCAAAAAAATTTTTCATGGTCATATTCGGTTTCAGCGACCCCAAAAACATAGGAATATGGGGTTGTGCTTTTTGGGACCTGACTTTTTTTTTTTTTGTGTGCCTGTGTAATTTTTATAGATTTAGATTTATCAGGGTCGCCACGGTTAAGGGAAATCAGAGAAAAGTCAGGGAAGTTTATCAAAAGTACTGGAAAAGTATCAAATTTCTAAAAACAAGCCTTTTGGAAAGCAAGATTTTTTTTTTGAAAATGCTACATTTTTAATCTCTATGAAGTTATTGGCACAAAACCTATTGTTAAAAGATGATTTGATATTTTTGGTCCCGTGAAAAATAATTTTCAACGCTTCTAAAAATTAGTGCCTTAATTTTTTTTTATAAATAAATACTTGTTGTAATTTTTTCATCAGGGTCAGGGAAATAATTAAAATTTAAACTGAAAATCAGGGAGAAAGAAATTCAAATTTTTGTAGCAACCCTGTATTACAGAAATTCTTCTAAATTCTTTTGTGAAATAAAAACTAAAATTATATATTTATTATATAAATTCCTGTAATACGGCATTAAAAATGGTTTTTATTTCACTTTTTTTGTGTACTACAAAACATTTTCAACGTAAACAACAACAATGGATTTGGTATCCTTATTAACTGGAACGATCATTTCTTTTGTCACATTAATGAGCATAATTAGCTTTTGCTAAGGCTATAATATTGTAAACAAAAGAGTCTTTCAGTATATAATGAAATTCAGAATTGTTCCAAGGTATATTCGGAGAGCGGTAATTCGAGGTGCAAAGTCACAGCAACCCCACTCGCCCTCGGTTATTCAAAAGAACTTAAGCCGATTTGCTTCTCGAGAAACCTACCCTTTTTGGGTCGTTTTAATACCAAAAGCAAACTCCACTAACCATTTTATGCTCACTGTGTCCGCTTCAGTTTTAAACTTGTACTGTTGATCGTTGTGTTTCGCTCATTTTCTTTTTTTTTTGAGGATTTGCTGAGGTGACCTCAACAGGAATTTAATCCAAAATGTAAATACTTTTTGATTCAATTACATTTGAATAAAAATCATCACTGAATATAAAGACTTGTACAATTAAAAAAGGCAAATAAAATTACAATATATAAAAATTGTTTAATAAATAATTTAATAATACTTTTATAATTTTGACGTAATAATATATTCAAGAATGGAAAAATGTTCATGGATTTTAGTTGCACAATTTCAAAAGCTTTAAAGTGTGTGGTTAAGAGTAGAGTTCCGTTGTGGATTACTGTTCTAAATCGCATTTTAGTAAATCTTGGAAATTACTGAGTTATAGCAAAGTCGTAGAATCCGTGAGAAGCAGAATGTTTCGCTGGCGCCTTGTTATTCTGCGATCTACGATCTCTAAGTAGGTTCCTTTACGCTCGAGCGATTAGCGGTGGTAAGGAGGAATTCAGCTAATCCGGAAGTGAGAGGAGCGATAGTTGAATCGCTATTCCAAAATAACGACAAACTCTGGCGAAGATCCCACTTTCTTGAAGTGACTTTCAAGAGAGTAAGAGAGAGAGAGAGAGAGAGAGAAAGAGAGAAGCAAAATGCGAGAATAGCGTGTAAGAATTCCCCACAATCAATTCTGTGCGAAAGCCACCCCTTATTCGTAATCCGGATTTCTCTTCCCTTCCCTCACTTTACATCAATAACATCACGCCGGTAAATTTTCAACCCCTTTAAAAGGTTGTTATTCGAAAATAAACAAATATTACCCTTATTTTCACATAATAAGTCAAAATGTTTATTAAGAAATGAAAACAAACTTTTTTAATGTGTAATGAATTAAAAAAATTTTTAAATATTAAATGGGAAATAAATTATTACATAGACATATAATGAGAGTTTAACAAAACACTTGATAAAATAAAATAAGTTACTCAATTGAAGGTACAATTAAAATTTTTTATCCAAATGAAAAAAAAATGTAATTTATCTATATATCATCGATATTAGTTTTATACAATTATCCAATCAATTTACAAAATAATAATTTTTATTAAAACTTGTATCTCGGGGGTTTCGGAATTGCTGTTTACGAATATGATGTCAGATTTTCAAAATTCAAAATGGCTGATCCAATATGTCGGTCGAAAAATTTAAAAGTTATTCATTTTTTATAAAACTCGGTATCCAGGGGTTTTTGGGGTCGCTGATTACGAATCTGATGTTTGATTTTCAAAATTCAAAATGTCGGTTTCAATATGGCGATCGAAATTTATAAAAATTCATCGAATTCCTTATTTTGCATTTTGAAATTCTGACATGAGATTCGCACTCAGCGACTCAAAAAACCCCTGAATATCAAGTTTTATAAAAAATTAACAACTTTCAAAATTTTTCGACCGCCATATTGGATCAGCCATTTTGAATTTTGAAAATCTGACATCATATTCGTAAACATCGACTCTGAAACCCTCAATATACCAGGTTTCATAAAAAATTATTAATTTTTAATAGATGTCCTCTCACCTTTTATTTAAGGGTTGTTTTTTAGAAAACAAAAAATTGTTTGGTAAACAAAAAATGACCTGATCTAGCAAAACGGTCAGGCATCTAATTTTAAAATTCCCTGATTAATTTTTCTTTTTACACTAGAATTTATTTACTTCTAATAATGGAAAAATCAGACTCTTTTTGTTTTATTTATCGGTTTAGAAAAAAGACCAACATTTTCTTTGCTGGTAATATTACAGATTTTCGATCCCTTTGAAAGTGTGCAGCTATGAATAACATATATATATATATACAATAAAAGAGAAAGAAAAAGCCGAGGATAAAGAAACAGGAAACATAATACGACACTCGACAAGTGGCGCTTTTCGAAACAATCGTGATTTTCTCTGACCAAGTTAAAGGCGTGATCGAGAGATGAGACTTTGTGTTTCTATATCGAGTCTCAAAGAAAGTCACCCATTTCCGCTTTCTTCTTATATGTATTTCATCTGAAAGAGAAATTTTTCTCACTTTTGAACTAGAGAGAGAGAGAGAGAGAGAAAGACTTGCTTTGTAGGCAATGTGTCTATATAAGCAAAGGGTTGAATTTTTCCAGTGTGTGGAAATCAAAGAAAAAAAAAAGTAAATATAACAATCAACAACTGAACGTAGAAAACGTCGCAAAAATTGAAAGGAAAAGGTTAAAGCATAAATAAAATATAATCGAATTTTTTCATCTGTAATTATAGTATA